TACATTCGAATGCTTTTCAAAAAGATGAGCTGTAGTCAAGACGTTGTTGTTTGATGTAACATTTAATACAGGTAGGTTTTTAGGAATATGTGGATCTTTCAATGTACACACTGCGTCTAGTGGCACCTTCCAAAGATTTAATTTGTCAATCCAATCAATACCAATAAGATCTAAATCATGTCTGTTTGTTAAATAACAAGTTCCAGTAAAAGAATGTACTCCGAATTTAACAGCACAATTTATCATCCCAACGAGTTTTAGAATATCTCCAGATGGATTACGCGCTGTATGTTCAGTAGGCAGTAATGGGGGGCAACCCATCAATTCCCGAGTTTTCTTAGAAATAAGTGTGATATCAGATGCTGTATCCAACTGCAAACGAATCTGAACATCATTAACTAATAGATCTACATATCTTCTTTTGTCAGCAAGATTACACGTGAATGTCGAATATATACTACGTATGGAACTCTTATGATTCCGGGGAAACTTTATGCGTCGTCCAGATTTCAAATAATTCTGTTGTCGGCAGACTGTTTCTTTATGACCAACTTTATAGCAAATGTTGCACTTATGACGTTTATAACGGCAAAATCTCGCGAAATGCCAAGATCCACAAAACCAGCACTTCGAAGACGGTTTGAATAATTTAGTTTGACGTTGATCATTCATTGGAACACTCTTACTTTTGTTGGATTTGACAGCATGGATATTGCAATTTAGTGAAGCATTACCTTTGGTCTCTACAAGCTTCGTATCATTTTTGAGGTTGACCAGTCGTTGACATTCTGACGTTACCATCTGTAGTGTCATGTCATCGTTTTGCTCAATGCGTGATAGCAATCTTGTTCGAACATCAGCATCTGCTGGTGACTGGAGTCCAGAAACAAATAATAAACATTTAAACTGATCATTTGACAATGCGTTTAATTTAAAACGTTCGGCTTGTAGATTAATTCTGCTTGCATAAGACAAATAATCCTCATCTGCATCTTTTGTCAATTGAAGGCATTTATAACGAATATGAAATAAAGATGCTGGTTCACAGAATATCGCATTTAAAATGTCAATAGTTTCATTAAATGTCAGATCTCTTGGATGTCGTGGGAGGATATAATTCTTGTATTTAGAATATTCATGCTGACCAAGTTTTTGTGTTAATAAACGCACCTTCTTCGCGTCATCTATATGTTTATATTCCACTTGAAAAAGATCTTCGATTCTACCGAACCATGATTCAAATGTATGGCCATTCTCTGCATCAAAAATAAATTCTGGAACTGAACTGAGTGATAACTCTATTCCTTTTTCTTCAGTAGTTACTCTGGACTGGATAGCAAATTTTGACATTAATGACTCCAGCATTTGTTCTTGAGAGGCTAGGAATTGCTGTTGTTGCTGCTGTAGACATAATTTCATTTGCTCGAATGTGATAGTCATATTGATTTCTTTTTAAATCCGCTTTATGACACTGAATGCTGATTGGCTAATAAATTGTAGCAGAATTAATGATCAATGACTGCGTAGGTTGGATCCACTTCAAAAACCGTCGCCAGTTTATTGTGTTTGTGCAATCTATACAATGACCTTGATGATCGCTAATCACTGTACAGACACGTCAGCCTCTCAATTACCAGCCCCACGGAAATAGAGGAAAAACAACGACTTATGAGTCAGACAGACAGATCAGATCAGATCGTTTTTTTTTATTATTTCAATCATGCCTTTATATACATGCAAAATCAGACTGCATCGTAAACCAATTAGAAAACTGACATCAATACAAAATAACAGTAATAGTGAGTGTGAACTGGGGTAACGCATAGCAGTCAATTAACTATAGTTCATAAATGAGAAATGATATAACAACAGTTAATGTCTCAAACAAGAGTATAGGATAAGAGCAACGTCACAATAATAGGAATAAAATGCTTACTTTGTATACAACCAAAAATAATGAATCTTAAGCAGAAAAAACAGTTTTAGAAGATAGTCAATCTTCTTTAAGTGCCCGCCATAACAGATACAACAAAGAAGGTTGCTGGAAACTATCGTAAACCAGAACGACTAGTGAAAAGCAAAGAAGGCGAAGCAATCAGCAACATCAAAGTACAGAGAAACTAGTGGGTACAGCACTTTGAAAAGCCCAAGAATCGACCACCTCCACCAAACCCACTCAACATCGAAGCAGCGTTTGCGGACCTACCAAAGGATGTTGTGTAGAATCGTTTTCGGAAGGCTTTGTTTCGAAAAATCCCCCAATGTTTACATCTGTAATATGTTCTTATTGATTCTTTCAGTTCTACATTTTAGTAAACTGTTCAATTCCATTTTGGGGTGATAATATTTGTATTATTTTTGTAGTTTCTACTTTTATGCCTTTTTTGGGTTTCTGTTTCTTTCCAAACTGCATCATTGTTATGTTCGTCACTAGGTACGCTTGAAGATATTACGAGTTCACCTTAGTCAATGAACGCGAACGAGACAATTACCAGCGTCCAGGTAGGCTACCTGGAATCCGAAACTGCGAAACAGAAGACTTGATAAACGTAGAAAGTATATTCTACAATACCCAGCAATCACTATGCAATCAAGCACATGCTGGCAAAAGTGAAATCCAAAATAAGGCATTTATGAAGCGAGTTCTGGGGATCTAACATCCCCAACAATTATATTGTTTAAGTTGATACTTAATAATGGCGACAGCCATATAGACTTTGTTCCGCTGGCGGTTAGTGCGATTATACGAACTGGAAGTGTGTAATTCAGAGTGGAATTGGAGCATTCTTCTAGAATTGGAAAGACTCTGTGTTTTTAATTGAAGGAATAGGAGCAGTAGCATTGTTCAGGCAGTGATGTATATTTATATTTATGATCAATAATAGAACCGTTACCTACACAGATCACTTGTTTTGGATTTAAACTGGGCAAGGCGCGTATCTAAACTTCCTGAACAAATATTCCTAAACCCAAAACTCAGTTTGGATTCTACATTTCGTGCTATGTTTAAATTCTGCCCCTGTTTGTTCTTTAGTTACGGACAATCAATTTATTTATTATTATGACCCAAATAGCAAAAGCGCAAAAATATATTCAGATTCGAAAAGTTTATTCGTAACCTACGAGCATTCAGCCGAAAGCGTTGTTCTAGAAATAATTGTAACAAAACTTACTGCAAAGATCTGTATGTATTTGTTCCAAAAACATAACATAGGACAAAATGGACGGCCTCTTCAGCTTCGTTTACGTGAACACCAGTTAGCGGTCGAACGCAACGACAATTCTTCGCTTATATCAGTATACACCGACAATAATGGACATACATTCGATCGGAACAATGTGGAAATACTGGATACGAGGAGGAAAAAGAACACTAGAGAATTTTTAGAAGCTTAGCACTCAGGTCAATCAGCAATCAACAAACACATCGACATTGACCCAGTTTATCAACCAATCAGGAAAATCATAGGTGACATGGGATCAGGAAACAGATCAAAGGGGGATACAGTCAAAACAAAAGGTGCAAACAACGTCAGACTTAAGGTCAACAGCAACCAAACAAGATGGAGGTTAGCAGAACAAGCTACAGGTCAGACTTGGAGAAATTCGAATGCTTCACTTCTATCTGAAGCTTTTTCTGATGTTGTTCAGAAAAACAATGAAAGCTCCACAACCAAAACATCCAGCCCAGAAAACGAAATACCACCACAATCATCCACCTGAGCTACAAATTTTCTCCATCATCTCAAAACTAATTTCCGAAAATAACTATTCAGAATTGCGAAACCGATGCGACCAAGGTTAAAGATGTAAAGAAATAAGTTCCAAGACCTAAATAAAACAAATGAATTCGGAACCCTATGAACTAGTGATGTTCACAACAGATAGTTCTTATATTTCGAACTTCTCTTGCAACGCTTATATCGACGAATTCAACCTAAGGATAATGTATTATTTCACTATGCCTCTTATACATAAGTCACCATAGTATTGTTGTATTTACGTGGTGACATCATTATTTATATAGGACTATGAAAACTTCCGAAATTTTCTCGCTTTATGCGATCCAGAGAGATTAGGCACCCTAATTATAGGCACCAAATTGCACAAAGAAGGGGTAAACCTCTGGTTTTAATTTCATTCTTACTGCATTCAAACCAGAATCTTGATCATCTTGATTGACTTGATTATCATTAATGTTGGTGGTTAGTTTACTCAATCTGGGAACACAGTGTTGCAACTTACTAGCATACATTGAAGTCACATCTCGTAGTTAATATCTAACATTTATAACGTACTTCCGATATCCAGGGGAAACAACCATTTTACTGACCGGCTATAACAAATAGAAGTTGACAAAAATAGCTTAGTTTGTTGGGGAGAAGAGATTATAGATGCGATGAGTGATGACGCTGTTGCATACGTTACTCAATAGTATGCAAATGACTATTTCATATTACTTATCTTCTACAATCAAGACGCCCATCACACTATGCCATGTCTGCTGATGTTACTTGATTTAGAAGCTTTTCGAATTGGTAGGTGATTTTACTAGGGCTTATCTAAGTCTCACAGTCCTCCACTAAGAGTTATAAATAAATATTATCTGTAGATTCACTGTTATTTACATATGGTATTATGACATTACTTATCCTAAGCTATTTGGCATTAAATATGCGAACCATGAATAGAATATATACAAAATATGACAAGTTATGAGTCTTGAGATGTAGGTTTCGCCTTATTTTAAGTCAGCTTTGAGTAGCTACAGCACAATACTTATTCTCAATGCGAAATTTTGACCTGGGGTTTAAGGCTTCCGAAGTAAGTTGGTCATATTTTGGACGAAATCCAGTATTGTTTTTAGAACTGTCAAGGGTCAGAGGAAGATTTTTTGGCTGAAAACCGAAAGTTACTTTTCCTTTCTGAAAGTAATCACAGTAATTTAGCTGATAAATAGTTTGTCAAAGTGTTTGTTTTATTGATTCAGTAAAACAGAACCAACGTTAGCTCACTTTTTAAATTTGTTACTTGTTGCTGCTTTGTGGAAAGATATAAACTAACTTTCCCAAAAATGGCTGGAATAGGAATGGCAAATGAAACAGTATATCAAATAATACAGTTTTATGTTCTGTTGTTTTCAGCATCAAGTTATTGATACAGAAGTGTGTCAATTAAATGTGTTTGTCCAGGTAGGATATATTTAGTTGAAAGCCATTTTATAAGATATGAATATTGCAATTGTATAAATAAATTTTGTATCTTAAACATTTTTGATTTACATCTTATGAGTGTGCGCAACCTAAATCCATACGTTTCGTTGCAAAGCGTTATATATCTGGAACAAAGATTCGGTCAAAATTACATGAAGTTATTTCATTTTGTTTCTTTCTCATCACTTAATTAAAACCTATTATATATTTAATCATAATTTTTAATTAGTTTTAATGTTAATGACAAGACGTAGTTGAGTTGGTAGTTTCTACTATTATACATCATAATGTACAGCAACTATACTAAACAATACTGATGTACGACCATAGCAACTTCTGACTAAAATCTACCAAGCCATTGATTTAAATTCAGCCCGAAAATTATGATTTTAGGTAATGGAGGTTGTAAGTAAATCCATGTTATTTTTTTAAAATGTTTGTTTATGCTCTCTTCTAAATGAGAAAGAAAATTCTGGGCGTGTAAGTAACAGATCTTTGACATCTAATATTTATCAAACTTTGTTTGGCGTCTTATCAATTACGGCGGTGCATATAATTGTTTATGCTCACACAGAATTTAACCTCCATTCTAAAGTACATAATTATTATCTTGTAGTGACTGGATAATTATAGATGCACTGCTTAAAGAAAAGGATTTTTATTGATTTCAGTAGAACTGGATGCCGTTGCTAGTTCTGCTACCTTAAAATATAACTAACTAACTATACATGAAATATTTTTTTAGGAATAAAAGCAGTAATTACCTTCTTAAGATTTAAAAAGTACTAAATTAGATGGCTGTCGCACATAACAAGAAGTTTTAGAAACTAAATTTGTTGTGTGCAGAAAACATGCAGTAACGTTACGTTATACAAAATATTGGATAAATAATGTTAAAATCAGTTGTTATCACTATGAAAACATGAAGTAAACTTAAACTTGTCCTTAAAAGTGCACTTAAAAGATTATAATACACTAAATCTTTAAATTGTGACCAGCTATGCATGATCTGAGTTTCATTTTGGAATAGGTGATTGAAAAACTAAAGTTCTGATTTCGATAGATTAAAAGCTCTTAATGTACTGCTTTTTGATGAATATTCTCTGAATCAAGGTTGGATCTATGAATCCGGTGGATTTCGTTGCAAGTTAACAAGTGCTTAGCTCTATTTATTCAAAATCTATAGGAAAAGAATGTTGAACTTCCGTAAAAGACACAAGTTTCTACATCCGAATTTCAATTATAAAGTACTTATTAGCAACTAAAACCAACGTATGTCCCACTTAACATGTAAATTAGTCAACAAAATCAAAATAAGCACAAATATGGTAGGTGGTCGCGGATGAGGAAAAAATAGAAACGAAACTTTGGTAAAAATAATTTAAAGCTAGATATAGAAACTGAATAGTAAATCTTAAACAGTCCAAAAATAATTTTGCTCCGTATTTCAATAAGATATACACCATGGTTTTTCCTCTCGTACAAATCTCATTCTATAAACAATAATGCTTTGCAGGTATAGAATATGGAGCATACTCCATATCATTTTTGTGATTTTCCAATCGGTATGTAAACTTTTTGTCTAAGTCAAATGCAGTTTAATAGGATAGAATCTCAAAGTTTCTTCCACTTGCCTTACTAAGTTACATTCATCTATTCAGTATTTATTGTTTGGGAAGTTTCAACATAAAAGCTTGTCAAATTACATATTCTACTGTGATTAGTATCATTTTTGTCTCTACCGGAAAAATGCAAGAGTTAAAACTTGTCTAGAAAAGAACAAGTACTATATTCAAATCAAACATACTGTACGTAATCTCTGTAAATATTTTAACGATCCAATCTTTTATTTGGGTTTTAATCAGTTAGTCATAAATAATCGACTGGTCTAGTGCCTAGAATAAACGGTTCATCATTTAGTTTGGAAACATAGGATGAATCATATCAGACTCCTGAAGAACTTGTTGACCTTCTGAATTGCTAACCTAACATATTTTTTAAAATTTAACCAATATTTTATCGATTACTCTATAATTTTTGAGCTTGGAAGTGTTTAGGTATAAATCATGTTATATTTGATGTAAACTAATCCTCGAACGTCAAAAATTGAAGGTATTAAAGCCATCTAGTTCTTCAGAATGTAGGTTACCTATAGTTTGATAAATGAAATTTTACGTAGTTACAGATGATGAGGTCATCTTGAATGATTAGTTCCACAAACATTAGGCAAATTTTAGTTTAGAAGGTAATATTTTGTTACTATTTGTACGGCCGTCTTACTTTCCATTTAGTCATTTCAAGTACATTTTAGTGATTGGGTAAGAATTAATACTGTCTATGTAATTGGATTACATATAACCTCATCCTTTGCGTTTGGCTTTAGTTGAACCATATTGCATAAGTTTTAAAAGTTTTTTACAACATAGAGTATATATGATAAATATTATGTCTTCGAAAAGTTTAAAATATAAAATTTTGTTGTTGTTTAATCAAGCTGACAGACTATCTGAACAATAACTAATAGCTGTGGTCTACATTTACTCAGCTTTTCAAAAATATGCTAGTAAAGACATAATCAGCTTTGAAATGAAACAGTTGTTACAATTATTATTACCTAAATATATGAATGATCCTTTATTGGTCATTTTAATTCTCTTTTTTCAGGGCAGAATCTTGCCTTCAAAGCCTGTATTTCTTACTTGTCATGACTTGGGCTGCAATCGTAAGTTATTATTTTAAAACTTTTTTATATATATATATACTGAAAGGGTATTGTCCAATGAAATCCTTTTTCATGAAATAAATATTTTTTCGTTTGTCAAAGGTTCTAGTTCGTTAGTTTTTGCGGAACAGTTATAATTCTTATAGGAGTTAGCAATTCACATCTTAATAATAGTAAAATATGAAAATTTGAATGTATAATGAGTTAATTAGCAACTTGCTTCAAGGTTTTGTATAAGGTTATAAGTTATATTGCTTGTGTGTTGGTTATTAATCATTATGCAATCTTTGGTTTATGGTCTTTTATCAAAAATGCCTTTAAGCCAGTTTTATGGCAAAACTCTTTAAAAGTAAATGCAGTGTTTACTGAAAGCTAGAAGTAACTAATACAGTAAATATTATATCTCATACACTTATAAACTGCTAGTCATCTTAAAGGCTTGAATTTGAACAAGTTTGTTTAATAGTATATAAATGAAATTGTAGAATAATATAATAAATAAATATCTTACACTGGAATTTGATTGATTTATAGTTTAAACCTGATCAGTAGTATGTTGGGATATTTATATGAATTATTTGTGACCAAACAATGTAGCATTTTCTGATATGTATATGCATGATTCATCTTTTTGTTATAATGACACATAAATTCATGAATGGCGACCAACTAAATGATTGAATCTGTAATCAGTTATCATAGAGATTAGATACATCACGTTACTAAAGTTCAGATGCTTTAACAGACATAATCTGAATCCCACTATTAACAACTAATAGATTCAAGAATTTTGCCTCGTTTATTCTGAGTGAGATCAACTGTGAAGCATTCATTGTTCGAGTGTGTTATATTTAGATATTAAGTCTTTGTTTTGTTCATTTAGTTAACAAATGTGAGATATTATAATGTAATTTTAACTGAAAATTTCTTAGTTATCCACAAAAGATTTACTTAAACGAATTTGGTGTATTATAGTCCAGCATGATTGATAAATAACAGAATAATACAGGGAATTTAAACTTTTGAAAATGCACTTTGCATCATTTAAATTCTTCGAGATGAATCTTTAATTTGTTCTTTATTGATTTCTACTTTGACGTTTTGCTTGTGAATATTATGCTTTACCATAAGAAAAATTATATATATATTACAATGAAGATAACAGATATAAGTGTGACACACACTCATTTTTATTGCTATAATAAACTACGTAGAATTTTTTCTAACAGTCTCCGAATTCTCCTAAATAAAAGTCACAGTTTTAGCTACAGGTTAAGTAACTTCGCTATTGGTAACGTTTTGCAAAAGAGAATTTGATATTTCACGAAAAATGTACAAGAAATCAAGATTTAAACTTTTTTCGGCAGTCTCCATCTATGATCTCGCTAATTATCAAATCATGTATCTTCAAATCGCCTGGATTTTAACTCATATTCCTGAAAGTATACCTATAAAGAAGTGCCTCGGTTTGTTTATTTGTGGACAGACGGTTGTAAGTTCTTGAAGGACAATAGCTAAAAGTGGTTCAGTGCACTATATTCAGTTTATTGTGTAAAATGCATTCAAAATGAATAATCTTCACTAACCCGTGTGCTCATATAAACATTATGTTCTGGTACAGAGATTTCTTAACTGTATTTGTCGAACAGTAATCTTAGTTGAGGTGCCAATGATAACCATACGGCATTAAACACCTTCCTCTTTATAATAAAGGACTCTTTTGTAATTCTGCTGCAAATTACGAACCCTATACATTCTGTCTACGATGAATACAACCAAATCTCCATAAAACCTCCTTAACTAAACAATAATTATCGATTGATTTATGAAACTGTCTTTTTCTCTTTGTTAATTAAATTAGATTACTACTTTGATGGTAACAATTATAAGGCAAAACGTTTAAATAGATAATAATTGGAATAATATATATAAATGAATATGTATTCTCCGACATCATATTATGTTAAATAAGGTCAATTGTTTCAGTTCACTTATATATACATACATACATACTGTTTAAGTAAAAGCATATAAAAAAAAAGAAAAGAAGTTAACTTGATGTTGAAAAAAAAAATCCATTGAAATGGGATAAAAAAATTTTGTAAATAAAAAACTAAATAGTCATAAGTTTTCTTCATCATTCTATGTATTATGACCTTAAAAAAATACTAGCTGTCTTAAAATTAAAGCACACATTATTGATGTACACATGGTGATGATAACTGTACATATATGTACAGTTATGTATGCATATGAATAGTTAAAAATACCTCTGGGTGGGCAATTGCTTTATTTCATTGTTTACTATCCACTTCAATGATTATCTTTGGATCGATAAATACTTGAACTGGTAAATAATACTATATTGGCATCAAATGTTTATCTTTCTCTCTGCAACCTTAAATCTATTGTGACATGAGAATATACAATTAAAGAACTTGTGTATGGATTTATGAGAAACGAATTCTAATATAGACACTGGAATTGAAATCATTTTGTATAAGTTTGTTTCAACTCAAAAATTGAAATGATAATCATATTTAGTCTAACTAAATAATACCAGGATATTTTTCTTGAATTTTCATCAAACACCAAATGATCGATTATTATTATTAATGTTGGATAAATGTTAATCGGTTCATGGTTTCAAAAATGTGTAACTTAATAATCTTCACAACAACCCCGTAATGCAAATTACCTGTGCTCACTAGTGACTAGCTTCGTGAGAAATCTTCTCCGAGTTCTAGTGGGGGAAGACGTGACCAGTGAAGTTCAACCTGTTCAGGTGTAGACAGTAACTACCGAAGACTGTGTATGAGGTTGCGCAACTCCATGAATTTGGTCAAGTTAGACATTAACACCGTTAGATACCGGCGCAGATGTCTATCGGTCAGGGCGTTCGCGCACAATACCGAAAGTCCTGGGTTCGAATCCTGCGAGGTGAAGGAGCCGTGGATGCGCACTGCTGAGGAGTCCCATACCAGGACGAAAAGGCCGTCTAGTGCTTCCAGGTTTCTAATGGTGGTCTAACATTGATCGGTTCAAGGGTTCCGAAAATGTGTAAATATTAATCATCAAGTATTATCATGTCTTTCAACTAAACGAAATAAACTAGTGAAAGACCAAGGTTATTAATCTTGACTGCCTAAATGATAATGGTTAACTGAAATATCAAAAATGTGGTTGAAAAATCATGAATAAAATGTATGAAGTAACAATAAGCTCAAGGATTTTGATGGAAATGACAAAATCTTAATATTTATGTTATCACAAACGATTTCCAGTTATGTTACGTAAGACCCTTTAGCATGGTGTTTTCTCAGTTTGGTATATCAAATAAGACTGAAATTTACTGTTTTGTAAGTTGAATTCATGACTCCATCGAAGCATTGTTAACTGTCTGAAAAACTTCTGTACTGTTAGAAATAACAGTACATTTGTGTAGACAGTTAAGATTATGTAACAAATATAAATCGAGTTGCAAGTTCTACGTATTATCCCTAATCAGAATCTCAGCATTACTGACTGGTTACTTAAACTTTGAGGAAACAATGAACCGTAGATAATATGCTGAAAACTTAAGTATATCTTTCTAGACATATTCCTTAAATCCTATCAATTCGTTCAATATGGATGAAAGAGATTGTTTTTCTGAACTGACTATGAACATGAATCAATTTGTGATAGTTTCGTTACCATGTGTGGTTAAGCTTATAAGCCAATGAATGTAAAAATTCTTCAGCACAACCTAACAAACTACCACTTCTTAACTTATGAATTCGGTCAATTAAAAACTAATCTTAAAGAAACATACAGACTAATTATTCATTATTTTTTATGAATAAAAACATAACATACTACTACTTACTATTGTTCTTGGTTATCTGATAAAATGCTACTAGTAAATAATGTCTGAAATAAGTATATTTTAATTTCCATTAAAGCATTGTGTTGTCAAGAGAGTGAATGAAAATGTACACTAATCTATTTAATAATGATAATAATAATAATAATAATAATAATAATAGTAATAATAATGGGTTTACTTAATATGGATAAGTTTACTGCATTATGAAATTCTCTGCATGCAATTTATGTCATATATATTTGAGAAGTAAAATTTTGGTTGAAATTTTTTTTCTACTCATAAGCTATTTTTACATCAATAAAATAAGTAATTAAATTTAGCAAAACAATTCGCAGTCTTTTCCCTTACGTAACTTCCTGAATATTTGCAAGCAAACAGTGAGTTTAAAGCTCTGTTGCTTGTTTTTGGGGAGTTGATGGTTTTTTTTGCTAAGACAATAACTTTCCTATGCTAAATAGACTAGAAAATTCTTGGGTATCATAATCAATACTATTAATATCCCTAAAAAGATTAAAGACAAAACATTGAAACATCTAAATGTTTGTACCTCGCTAACTTAAGGAAGCTATCGATTTTTTGTTATGCTCGTCAGTTGATATGCTTGAAACTATTACGAGTTCACCTTAGTCGATAAACGAGATCGAAGACAAATGATCCAGTGACACGATAGGCTAGTTTAATCCGAGCGTCTAAAGGCCCCACTAAATAGAGGAAGAAGTCTTGATACGGCGTAGAAAGTATATTCTACAAGCACCCATAAAATATGAGGTTGACAAGCACACAAATCGAGTCTATTCATACATGATAGAAACGTTCTTGGGAGAGCCACAAAAGTAGAGTACGAAAATAACACATCAACCAATGATAGTCATGGATTTTCTGTGTGGGAACTGTAATCTCAAGGTCAACTGACCAGCCGAAGCGCGAAAGCGTAAAATCCAAAACTAGGACCTTAATCAAGTGAATTTTAGGAATCTAACTCTACCAACAGTTTTCATCAAAACATTTCAGTTGAAAAAATGCATTTATGAATTTTTCAATTTTATAAAAATTCATCAAAGTTGAAAATACAATAAATAAGCTGTCGTGTATAGAGTCAGTTGTTTTAATCCCATGAAGAAAGAAGAAAACA